GGGAGCGTTCCTCTCGACACATGAGACGGGGACGGACGCGGGCAGTGGGGAGAAGCCCGCGAAGGTGTTCTCCGTAGGTCTTCAAATCGTTGTTGGGGTGCTAGGGGTCGCTAGCTTTACCGCCGCGGCCGTCCATCACCTCGACCAGAGGGAGATCATGCGTGTGGAGGGCGAGCGAAGGTTGTCGGAGGAGCGTTTGAGGGCGGAGCTGGAGCGGTACAAATATGACTTGCAACTGAGGCACACACAAGACTACAAACCGTACCAGGCCGCAAAGGAGCAGGCAAACAAAGAGAGGGGAGGAACCGGAGGGCCGCAGAAAGAGACGGACTAGCTTTTCAGACCCTCGGCAGCTGCATAAAAAATATGTAAAAGACACATCCAAAGACATGTACAGTGGCCGGGGTTGTAAGGGAGAGGTGGACACTTGACACAACGAAAATGCCAAAAGAAGGGCTCTCAAACTATTTTGACCCTGGTGACTTCTTCCGTTGTAGTTGGGACTCTCAAGTTGGTTCGATGTACTTGCTCTTCTCGTCTCTTCCGCATTGACGCCGCCAGCCAGTCTTCCAATTGCTTACCGAAAATCTCGGTTACAGTTCTTTCTCTTCTTTTGTCACTGAGACGAAGAAGCGTTTGATGTATCACGACATTTCATCAAAAAATGTACAAATGCGAAAAAGAAAGCGTGAGGATGACTTTCTGTCGAAGAACGAATTAACACATTCCACTACCTGGCTTATATTATCGATCCTCGAGCCAAGATAATGCTTGGAATTGCTTCGATGAGTCGTAAAAATCTGGACCATTTCGTTGGCTTGACGGAGTTAAAAAGGGGCCTGACTTTTTCCCAGACTAGCGGCCGCGGCTACAGAGGTCTTCAGCACGCATCTTATTTTATGTTTACACCATCCACGTGACCATTAATATTACGCACCGGTATATTCGAATGTTTCCAAGATGCATTGAGAGATCGAGGATATTTATTTTTGATGTCATTACCATTTGGTGTAGTGGCGTAGGGAGGCTTGGTGGTGGCATGGGGCCTTGGCCACGTCCTGGGCGCCGGCAGGCCATGTCTAGATACTGACTCACGATAACGTCGTTGACAATTCTTCTGGGACTCTAGTTTGTGGCGACGCTCTTGGATCGAGGAGTCCGTATTATACACTTTTGAACCGGCCTGAGGGTTGGCGGATGGCCGGTGCTGCTCGTAGTATCCGACGAATGAATGGGTCATGCCCGAAATGGAATTCCTTCTGTACACTTCAAAGCCAGAGACTTCACAATTTCGTCTTAAGTTGCCAAGCAGTTGGATGTTTGTATTTTGGGGGGCAAAATAACCGTGGTGCACTTGTCACATGCTGGGTCTATTTTTGGTGGAGCGTGTAACTAACGTAAGAAGGAACCACAGCACACATCAACATCAAGCGGACTGCAAAACTGGTAGAAGTCCATTTATTCTGCCGTTACACGACTTTGTTTGGCATACATCCCGTCACCAGAGACACTTTTTGGGCAGTTATTTTGTTGCAGGGCACTACTAAGTGACGTTTTGGCAGGCACGTACTTGCTCCTTGCTCCCCTCAGTGAAGTCACGCCCCAACGTGACCACAGTCACGGGAGCGATTAGTATCATGGAAGGGGAAAGGATAAGGGCGACAAGGCTCGTTAAATTTTCTTTTATCATCATTGCTGAACGCAGGATGAACAACAGGAAGCTTCATGACAAGATAGCGCGGTAGGAATATCGGATGGTGGCAGAATCCGAAAACGATATGGCAGAGATGGAAGAGATATTCAGCCTGGAAACGGCAGACGAGGTAAGGAAAGCTCCCATAGCCCTTTTCGCGGAAATTCCCTCGATATTTTCACGTTTCTTCTGCTTAAATCGACTTTTTACCAAATACATCACATCTCAAAAATTCACGCAGGAACCAACCACAGTCGAGGTTTTGGTCTCCCCCATAGCCCCCCACCTTGCCAACCGGGCCCTGAAAAGACTGCATTCCCTCCTCCCCACCCCAGACGCACAGGTAAGATCCCAACTCATTTCAATCATTGTCCCTCTTTCATGTCGAAACTTTTTTTGCGTGGCTTGAGACCATCCTTACACGCATTCGCCAGCACATAGTCCTCCTCAAGATCATCAGCGCCTTTCCTCCTTCTCTCCCTCCCTCCCTCCCTCCCTTCCTTCCTTCCTCCCTCTCTTCCTCCCTCCCTTTCGCCCTACCTCTGCTCCCCTCTCTCCAGCTTGGGCACCTCAAACGCGTCCGAAAAGACCCTGATTCCTCCTCCCTCCTCCTCCTCTCCACCCCCGCCCGCTACCATGCCCTCACCCCCTCACTTCGTC